GAGGATGTCAACGTCGGCGAGGAGGTCCGAAGCGTCGATGAGCTTGTTCTCGTTGTCCGAGACGACGTTGTGGCCAGCGTCGTAGTAGGAGAACTCGGGGGCGTTGCGCTTGCTCAGGATGCCAATGTTGGCGAGCAGACCGGAAAGGTCGACGAGCTTGTTCTCGTTCTTGACGATGACGTTGTGGCCGCCGTTGTAGCTCTTGATGTACTCGAGGCAGTAGGCGGGGGCGTTCTTCCACGTCTTCTGCTTGCGGCCGTTGGAGCTGAGCAGGCTGAGGTTGACGGTGGCGTCGCTGAGGTCGATGAGCTTGTTCTCGTTGACCGAGTAGACGTTGTGACCGCCGTTGTACGAAGAGATGTACTTCTTGCAGGCCGAGTAGTCGGTGCGCTTGAGGATGTCGATGTTGAGGCCGAGATCGGAGGCGTCGACCAGCTTGTTCTCGTTGGTCGACTCGACGTTGTGGCCGCCGTTGTAGTACGAGTACTCGGCACCGTAGTGAGGAGCGGCGTTGACCATGCCGAGGGCGGCGGTCAAGACCGAGATGGAGAGGGCGATCTTGGAAGGCATCTTAAGGAAGCTCGATGGGAGGAGGGTTCTGGTGTAGATCGGAGTGGCTGAAAAGTCCTGAAAGAGAGTGTGGTTGGTTGAGACGGTGAAGACCGAGTAGAAGCAGACACGACACAAGGGGGGGAGGTGGGGGAGGGGGGAGGCTTGGCTAGGAAGCTGAGAGGGGAGAGCTGAGAAGGTGAGAAATGATGATGAGAATTGGGAGGAGGGGGGACGGAGAGATAGCTCTTTATATCCATGGTCGGTGATTGAAAGCGGAGTCTGAGGCTGTCAGCTGTCACCGTATGGCGAATTGCTGGGCGAAGGGGGAGGATTGGTAGCGGAACGGATGCACCGAGGAGGAGTGGCAAGCGCTGGCAGCGTTGATCCCAACGCGGTCTGACTAGGTTCTCGAGCCCGAGAGACGGATAGCACTCGCATAGGAAGCCCTTGCCCGAGGTATGAGACCACAGCTGCCCTGAGTTGATCCCGTCGCCGTGCAAAAAAAGTTCCGAAGGAATGCACTTGTGCCGGAGGCCTGAGTGTCAAACTGTCCATGCAGCCAAGAAGAGGGGGTGTGAGCACAGAGGTCCGAGGAACGATTTCGTCAAGGCGGCCCGCCCTCAGCGACCTGCAGCCGCACAGGGCGCCTTGACGGATTGGATATCGCGGCGACTGAGACTGGGCACGTTTTGCCATTGTCCCAAGATTTGCGATGCAGAGAACGCCCAAGAAGCCAGGGGCCGTGTTCGGTAGTGGGACAAGCTCAAGGCAGGGATGCGCATGGATGTAGTATGCGCTTGTCGACTAGGGAGAGGCGAGGACAAGGCAGGGGAACGCAGGGATGGAGGAGCGGCATGGAGTGAGACCTGGCGCTGTCCGTTTGCGCCACAGCAAGGGGGCAAGCGCAGCGATCGCACAGCGATCATCCGAAGCAGCCGAGCAGATTTGGACGAGATCCAGGAGACAAGCCACGGAGAGGCTTGATCGCCGTGCTTGTGATCCGAAGCGGCAATATTTGACGGGCGGAAAGAGCATTCGAAGCTGCAGGGCGCCTAAGGCGATGGGTGGGCGATCAGCGGACGAGCATTCAGCCAACGGTAGGGCAGTCCAAGAGCGCAGGAGTGGCTAAGGCACCGAGGTGCGTGTCCGTGTCGGCTAGCGCTTAGGCCCAAGGTTAAGCGTGGGAGGTGCGGTGCGCTCCTGGGCGAGGAGGCCCGAGTAGTGCATTCCGCGGCAAGAGAGAGCCGGTTGTCAGGGTCCAGGTTTGTTTCGCAAGCGCGGGCCGCCGCAGCGCGCTCAGGCGAGGAGCCGCCGTGCCTGTGCATGCAGCTGCTTGCACTGCCGCAAAGCAAAGCATCGAGTGCTCTGTGGCGGTGGACCAACCCTCTGGCATCGCTGTCGTCGGCTTCGGTTGGCGGCAGTCTGCAGCAGATCTCGTCGAGGCGCTTTGGAAGCCCCTTGCTCGGACATGCTCGCTCGCCCTGACGCCTGGCATTGCGTCGCCTGCGTGAGAAAAGAATGCAGCCCATCGAAAGTCAAAGCCCGACTCCTGCTCAAAATAGCAGCCTCCTTCGGACGTCGCTTACGCAGGTGCAGAGAAGGCAGTGGAGTGCCTGACTCGCCAGCGCGCGCGCTGCTTGCCTCTGCCAGGGTTCTCCTTGGTGAGGATCGCAAGGACGATACTGTATGCGCTTAGAGCTGCTCAGTCGTTTCGCGAGGTGGTCAGGCCATGATGATCAGACTGTGATGGACTGGCACGCTCCAGCTGCAGGGTATTCCCACGCTAGGTCCTCGCAAGACGCTGAATGCTTCGACCTTTGGGCCGCATGTTGCACGAGCTCGAGTTCAGAGTTGTCGTATCTTGGCGTGCAAGGCCTCAGAGCCCTGACTGTTGCGTGAATGCCAGGTATGCCGAAGACGGCAGGACTGTCTCAGGCTGGCACCAGAGTGTTTGCGGCACGAGTGGAGAGGAGGGCGCGAGAGAGACAGGCACAAGGCGTCGAGCGGGCAGCGGCGTCGTCGAGTGCCTGTCTCAGTGGAAAGAAGATCATGCAGATCATAAGCAAGCGAGACAAGCGACGATCGTGTCCGAAAGCCGCGTTGGCGGGAGGGGTGCCAAGCCAGCGGAGTTGCGGCGCGGCGTCAGGTCCGAGCTTTGGAAGCTTCCTTCAAACAAAGTGGAGCGGGCAGCGAACAGCATTGAGATCAGCATTGAGAGGCGCTTCATGTTTCAGCGGCAAGGAGGTGGCGCAGGATGATGGATCCCGGGAGTGGACCCAAGCGCAGATGGGGCTGGTCGCCAAGCTGCGCTCAGCATTGTTGCCGGCAAGGGGTCAAGGAGCTGCGAACCTCGGGGGCGGAAAAGCAGCGAGCAGGGTGTGCGGGAGGGCTAGCGCTGCCCTGGCGAGCACGAGGTTGCACGGTGAGGGCCAGTGCGTGCGAGAAAGAGAGAAGGAGGGAGGACGAAGCGCTTCCGCCGTTCCTGCACCATGCACTGCGCCGTGCAGTGTGCTCGAAGGGGCCTTTGCGCTGGTAACCGCCAATATTTCACGCAAGGGGCTTCGAGTGGTGCCTACGCGAGCTGCTGGCTCCCGTGTCGCCACAATTTCGGGCCGCCCTTTTTTTTCCAAGGACATCGTCAGGGTCTCCGCTGCAGCGCCGCGGAAATCTGGAGTAGTCGAAAATGTAGCGACCGACGACCCCTTGATGCTTTGAGCGGAACCACTGATCGAAGGGACGGCACCATCATAGATCGATCGCCATCCCGTTCGCGTGCGCTGAGAGGCACGTCGGGACCGACATGACCGACTACTGAAGGACCAATTGTCGAATGCAAGGAGCACCACCAAAGCACACCTACTGGACTCGCTCTTTTCGCCGTCTCGATTGGCTTGTCTCACGTCAGGAAAGGCGTGCGTGCTTTTGTGGTACGTTGCCGTTCGCGCCGATGATTTGGACGCCGAAGCGCAGTCAGCGAAGAGTAAGGCGAGACGAGTACGGGTCCGACTGGAGAACCAAAGCATGCCGGTAGCCGAACGCCTCTGGACGCTTGGGCCGAGTTTGGATGCGCGCTCGGTGTCCTTGAACCCTCGTTCTCGTGGCGAATAGCACGGTGTCTTGGTCGAGCCTTGCACGTTTGAGCAGCGCGTCGACGATTTGCAAGAATGTGCTTCCGTTCTCACATGTCTCTGAGCGGACCCGCCGTTGCGGACGTCGAATTGTGTGTTGTGCGCCGATGGCGAGCCCTGCAGGCCCTTGCGATCAGCCGCGCGGCAGCACCGTCTCGACATTATTCGGTACCTGGTCAGGGCGTCGTCGATGGAATGCGCACTGCCACGGTGGAGATGGCAGGCTCCGGCGGCCTGTGCTTTTGCGAGCCTGTGTGCAAGTGCTCGAGCCGTTCGCATGGCAGTGCGGACAACGGCGAGTACCTCGCGATCTTTGCGATGTGCGCTTGGGGTCAGGCACCGTTGTTGTGTGGAAATGTTTGGCGCTCGAGCCCGTGTAAGGCCCGACGCACCATGCCCGTGGTGATTGAGTACGATACGATGGAAAGTTGCTGCTTTCAGCTCGGAGCCGCTGATTGTTGCTTCTCTTCCGTGAGAACATGACCCGAGACTCTGGAGCGTGAGACAACCTGACCTGCTGTCGCTCGGCATTCACATGCGATGCTGGCTGTACATGCTCTTGCTGGAGGCATATGTGTCGTTCGGCAGCTCTTGACAGGCGGCAGGATCGGGTGCATCATCCCCATCACTATCGGTGATCCCGTCCGAAACTGCTTTTTGACGCCATCTTTTTGATTCCTTTTCTTTGATTCTTGTGGCTTTTTGGAAAACTGCAAACACTTGTGCCATTTTCCTTCCCCGATGCAGTGCAAGCCACCACCACATTTAGCAGGTTTCGGCTCTGCAGCAGATTGCATGGAGCAACGTCGACTTCGCATCAAACCTGCTTATTGGGAGGCCTTTCGACTAGGCCAAGCTCTCCCAGCATCCACACGGCGTGAATCGTCTGAATCGGGCCCAGAAGACGGGTGTACCCGATGGCCATTCCAGCACGAAGTTGGAATCGGCAGCTGCGTGGAAAGTGCCATTTTTCTGCTCCGGATGTGGATCGTGAAAGCGGCGCTTTTGGCTGCAGCGTGTGCATCAGCGGTTGCCGGGCGTAATTCCAGTCTCTCGGCGCGCTATCAGAAAACGAGCAGCCGGCCCCACACGCGTCGATGGGCTGCTCTCGAGGCGGAACCTTGGTCATCGCCAGCTGCTGCCGGCAATCGGGTTGGCAGGCGCTCGAGGGCCGGTGCCAGTCAGGGCGAACGCACCAACGGACCGACTGCCAATCTTGCTGTCCACCATCTTCCTGGTCCATCAGTACTCAGGCAACGCTTCTCGCCTCGCCACAAGCGTCTACATTGTCTGCTGCGTCGAAAGGCATCTGCCTCACAATCCTACATTGTCCCGACGAGTGCATCGACTACTGCTGCCGACCAGGGTGTCCACAGCGGTCCTGCCAACCGGAGAAGCAACACATTTCGTGTCACCTCCTCCTTCCTGGTAAAAGGCGACAAAGAGCTGCGGTGAAGGGCCTTACGTGACCGCGCTACATCATGGCGGTCCAGTCCAAGCTCCGCCAGGATGCCTCCTCACATGCTGGCTGGCTCGCACAGCTCCTCTCCCCGCAACAACGCGCCAAGCAAGGCCTCGGACTCATCGCGCTCCTCCTGCTCTTCTCGCTCCGCAGGCGTCTGACCGAGTGGCTCCACCAGCGCAACATCGGCAAGCTCGCCAGCACACGCTCCGGCTCTTCCAACCTCGATGTCGCAGACGCCCTCAAGCAGGTCTACGTACCCAAGCCCGACGGCTCCCGCGACCTGCTCGTTCCCAACCGCGGTCGTGTCTCCAAGGTGCCTATCAAGCCTACCAAGGCGAGCACCTTCGACGCCGACTACGCCGTCTTCCGCAAGCTTCCTCCCACCTCGGACACCGGCGCCGCCAACGCCAAAAAGAAGAACCTCAGCGACGACGACCGCAAGCGCTCCCAGATCGAGGATGCCAAGGCCATGCGCGCAGAGGGCGGCGCAGCAGCCGCCACCGCCAAAAAGGTGGGCGTCAACAAGGAGTTCTTCCGCCAGCTCAAGGCCATCTTCCGCATCCTCATCCCGCGCAGAAATAGCAAGGAGGTCTTCATCTTCCTCCTCCACACCTCCTTCCTCGTCCTCCGCACCTACCTCTCCATGCTCGTCGCACGCCTTGACGGTGTGATCGTGCGCGACCTCGTCTCCGCCAACGGTCGCGGCTTCCTCAGGGGCCTGGGTCTCTGGTTCCTGCTCGGCATCCCATCCACCTACACCAACTCCATGATCCGCTTCCTCCAGTCCAAACTCGCCATCGGCTTCCGCACACGCCTCACGCGCTACGTGCACGACCTCTACCTCAACGACAAGGCCAACTTCTACCGCATCGTCAACCTCGACGGCCGTCTCGACGCCGCCGACCAGTACATCACCACCGACATTGCGCGATTCTGCGAGACGCTCGCCGCTCTCTACTCCAACGTGTCCAAGCCCGTGCTCGATCTCATCATCTTCAACTATGCGCTCAGCCGATCCCTCGGTCCCATGGGCGTGCTCGGTCTCGCCTCCAACTACCTCTTCACCGGCTGGATCCTGCGACAGGTCACTCCGGCGTTCGGCAAACTGGCTGCCATCGAGGCCAAGCTCGAGGGCGACTTCCGCTCGGCGCACAGCAGGCTCATCACCAACGCAGAGGAGATCGCCTTCTACAATGGCGCTTCGATCGAGGCCGGTATCCTGAACCGCGCCTACATCCGCCTTGTGCGCCACATCAACAGCATCTTCAAGATTCGTGTTGCATTCAACATGACCGAGGACTTTGTGCTCAAGTACGCCTGGTCCGCGGCGGGCTACGTCATCATCGCCGCGCCCTTCCTCTTCGGCAACAAGCAGCCCAAGACCGAGGCTGCGGTGGACGTGCCGGCGCCCAAGCGAGAAGTGGTGGACAGCACGGTGGCGTCCAAGACCGAGTCGTACATCTCGAACCGTCGTCTGCTGCTCTCGCTCGCCGATGCAGGAAGCCGACTGATGTACAGCTACAAGGAACTCGCCGAGCTGGCGGGCTTCACCAGCCGCGTCTACACGCTCATCTCGACGCTGCACCTGCTCAACAAGGAGCAGTACCAGTCCATGCCTCGTCCCGTCGAGCTTGGTGCCGACAAGCCCTTCTACGACCTTGGCAACATCCAAGGCGAGGTGGTGGTGGGTAGCGACACGGTTGCGTTTGACAAGGTGCCCATCGTCGCGCCTGCACCCGGGCTGGAGCGCGGAGGCGAGGAGCTGGTGCGCGACCTCACGCTGCGCGTCAAGCCGGGCGAGCACGTGCTCATCACGGGCCCCAACGGCGTGGGCAAGACGGCGATCGCGCGTGTGGTGGCAGGTCTGTGGCCGGTGTTCCAGGGCCGCCTGGAGCGTCCGTCGATCAACGACATCATGTTCCTGCCGCAGCGACCGTACCTTTCGGTGGGCAGTCTGCGCGAGCAGGTCATCTACCCGTACACGTACCCGGAGCATGTGGCGAGCGGCAAGACGGACGAGGACCTGCTTGCGATCCTCAAGGACGTGCATCTGGCGTACCTGCCGTCGCGCGAGGGCGGTTGGGAGACGCGCAAGGAGTGGAAGGATGTGCTGTCGGGCGGCGAGAAGCAGCGCATGGGAATGGCGCGTCTGCTGTACCACCAGCCGCGCTTCGGCATTCTGGACGAGTGCACGAGTGCGGTGTCGACGGACGTCGAGGGGCTGATGTATGCCAAGGCCAAGGATCTGGGCATCACGCTCATCACGATCTCGCATCGTCCGTCGTTGTTCAAGTACCACGAGGTGCTGCTGCGACTCACGGGCGAGGAGGGCGCGTGGGAGACCGACTATATTGGCGCCGAGACCGAGCAGCTGAGCATGGAAAACGAGATCGAAGACCTGGAGCGCAAGATGGCCGAGGTGGAAGGGTGGAAGAGCCGCATCGGCGAGATTCAAAAGGAGCTCTCGCTCAGCCAGAGCTAAGGCACAGTCGCAGAAATTCAAATCATCCTCGATCTCGGCGTGTTCCGGTGTATTCATTGTCTGCTGATGTTGATGACGGACCACGGGCACGAGCCGGCGCGCTCGGCATTCCAGCGATCCGCTCCGCGTGCGCCTGTGCCGGCAAGCTCGACCTGAATCTTGACGGGCGTTGCTTTGCCATTTGACTGAATGTCGAGGGACCACTCGAGCCAGGCTGCAGGCCCAGCGCGATCGTTGGCGCCGCCGCCTTTGCGATGTGGTTCGCCCAACGAAGAGACGAGGTCCTTGCCCGTCGAGTCGAGCGTAATGGAAGTGGGTTTCTCCACCTCATCCTGTGGGAGGAGGTCGACCTGGATTGGCAGGCGTGGGAAGCAGGTCCAGCTCTTGTCGTCCCTGGCAGAGTAGACGTCGATGGCAGCCAGACGCAAATCGTGCACGTCGCACTTGGAGGCAGCCTTGCCACTCGAGCTGGGCTCGTCTGTCGCTCAGGATACATTAGGTCTCAGCAAAGATAAAGCTTCGGAAGCTGTCAAAGTGAACTCACATTGTAGACTCAGCCCCAAGGAACGATAGTTGTGATAGACGACGTCCGAGTACGCTTTGACTTCGGGCCTTGGGGGCTCCGAATCTGTCAAAGCTTGGATGGCAACTTGACTTGGGTTGCAGTCGAGCCACTCCACCAGTGTGATCAGACGTATCATTGTGAGCGACGGATGGCCATGATGGTCTCGAGCAGAGACAAGCTGACTGTGATTCGGAAGGGTTCCGACTATTACTTTTCGGCGTGGGTCCGCGCGCCAACCACGGTGACTTTGTGGAGGAAGCCGTGATTTGGCGCAAGTCTCAGGCACAGACCAAAGCCGAATCCCGAAGCCACTTTGGATATCGCACATGCACCTTCCACCCAACGTCCTCTTGACAATCCATACCATTCCGAGGAGGCATCGTCGAGGCAGGCTCGACTGCGCGGCTGCATCGGCATGGATGCTTGGTCGAGTCCGTGGAACGACGACGATGGTGTCGCACAGCCCGCCGCATCGTCGTCCGTAGCAAACCATGACAAGAAGGCGTCCCCTCTCGCACTTCCGCCGCTTCCAACCTTTGACGCATCCGATCCGTGGTCCACCGACGTTGCGGCTCCTCAACCAATAGAGCAAGCGGAATTATCTCCAGATCGAACGCCATCTCCGCAACCTCGGGACTATGAGGCGAAAGAGCACAATGCTCCTCCAAGCCCTTTGCAAACAGGCGCGGCTTGGGGAGACGACGAGTTCCCAACAAGCACTTCATCAGACGTGCCTGCAGCTACTTCAACGTCGACATTCGAGCACCCGTTGGATAGCGACCTCAACTCCTCTGCCATCGTCGAGGAAAGCTCTTCTCACGATCCATGGGGCGCAGGCTCTTCCAGCAACTGGGGCGCCGCCGAATCGACTTTCCGACCTTCCATCTCCACACTCGCTGATCCACATGCTGATTCCAGCGGATGGGGGCCATCCTCGACCACTTTCGACCAGAGCGACACTCTCGAATCTCGACTCTCATCAACGCATCTCGCAGATGCACAACTCGCTTCCAGCTCCTTCGGTTTGAACGACTCGTCCATCGATGCAGAATCGAGCGAGCACAAGGAGGCATCTGGCACTAACATGGACGTGTGGGCGGCAGAAGCCTCCTCCCGTGAGGAGAAGGCGCGACATCTCGACAGGGAGGAGATCGATCGACTCAAGTCGGACGCTCGAAAGCTCATCGCCAGCATCAACACCGAAACCGACACGCAGGCCAGCTTTGCCAGTCCCAGCGTCAGCCAGGGCGGATGGACAGATCTGTTCGGCAGCGAGGGCTCCCAACGCGACAAACTGCACCACCTCCAGTCGCCCCCATCAGCCCTCCAGTCTTCGAGCGGAGCACTACGCCTCGACGTCATGCAATCCAGCCCCACCACGCTCACGCACGTGCGCGGCTCAATGGCAAGCACCGAGAACCGAGGCGTCAAGCTCGTCGCTCCTGACCACAACGCAAGCTGGCAGAGGGGCGCTCGATCCATCACCAAGGCCGGCTGGCTGCCCGATATGCTGGCGGACGATGCCGGAGTATCATCGAGTCAAGCCAGACTTTCGTCCGAGAGCGCAACAACCCGCACGTCTGGCCCGGGATGGACACAGACGTCTAGTAGCGACTCGCGCTCCACGTCTGGACCAAGCTTTCTGGCCACGTTCTTCAAGGGTCGCCAAGCAGGTTCGGATACTGCCACAAGCTCTCCCGATCTCAACCAACCGCAACCACCGAAGGCGCAATCGAACGATGCGAGGACGTCCACGAGCTCGAGCCGCGGAGCCATGTCGCCCGCGGCCCAGTTTGATTCCTACCAGGATGACGCTGGCAGCAAGTACACCGACGACCCGACCGGTCCTGACCTTCTGTCGCTCGACCAACCACCTCCGCCTGCCTCGGCCCCAGCATCGTCGGCTGCAGGTGCTGCGGCTCCCGCTGCAGGTGCCGGACTTTTGAGCAGGTGGCGAAACAGCGGCCTGTTCAAGTCGTCAGCCAAGAAGGCGCATCCTAGCTGGGCGTCTGCGTCCATGAAGGGCGACGATCTCGCCTGGCTCGACGATCAGGAGAGCAACGACAGCCCTTCGCACAAGTACCGCTACGACGAGGTGGGAGAAGACTCGTTCGACACGTTTCAGAACCGCAACGTCGTGCCTCCACCGTCGCATACTCGCCCGAACGTCTCGTCGCCACCACCCGATCCATTTGATGCGCTGTTTGGCCCAGCAGCTCCTCAGGTCGGTGGTTCGTCGGCAAGTACTGCCGCACCGTCCTCAGCGCGGTCGAGCTTGTCTGCGCAGCGCGCTAGTGGCGAGGGCGGCATGATGACCATCACCACCAACTTGGTACGCGCGAACAGCTTAGCACGCAAAGGCGCCGCTTCGCCGCTGCAGCCTCCACCGCCAGCACAGGGCAAGAGGATGTCGATCGCACCGCCTCCGCGCGTCAGCACTGCTTCGCCCCGCGTGCAGTCGCCGAGCTACAGTAGCGCGCAGCAACAGCCGGTGGCAGCCGCAGATCCCTTTGCTGATTTCCTCAGCGAGCCGCCGCCTCAGCCAAGCGCACCGAAAACAGTGGCAGCACAGCCAGTGGCGTCGGCGAAACAGGGTGCTGCGAAACCAAACGCAAGCGGCGCGCTGACTGCCGACGACCTGCTCTTCTTTGACAATTTCTGATCGAGTTGTCCGCACGACGCCAGTGTAGAGCTGAGAATCCCACGTCAATCCAGCCTTGGATCGCAGCAAGCGGAAGCAGTCCGAGCAGATTTGGAACAGTGTGTGTGTCATGCAATTGAGGTGTTGGTATCTGTGTTTACTTTGAGCCCTTGGTTTCCTTGAACAGGACGTGTTTTCGGACTGTCGGGAAGAGGAACGTGTGTCAGCTCGATCCCCTCTGAACTGCACTGCAGAGGGTTCTCTGTTGAGCATTTACCTTTGGGGTCGTACTTCATCATGCTGAGCTTGTCGGCCACTCGTGTGCGGCGAGTGGTGTACATGAATCCGGTGCCTGCTGTGGAGACCAGACGGGCAATCACGACACTGTAGAAGTCAAAGGTGGTGGTGTGAGTTTTGCAATCCCGGGATCGTTGCGGGTCATGGAAGGCGAAGCTTACCGTGCCTTGGACTTGACAGCCATCTTGGAAGCAGCGATGCGAGGTGGGAAGAGGATGGAGGCGTAGGTTTGGTGGTGAAGAGAGGGAGGGATTCCGGGAAGATTTGTGGCATTCCTTGCCGCACCCGAGCCAAAATCCGAGTTCCGAATTTTTTACTCTTCTTCCTCCTCACCGCGGCCGCTGTACTCTGCACGGTGAGCCAGCCATGGACCTTTCTTAACAACCTCGATGATCCTTGATCCCTTCCATGCAACAACGGACTCAGATCCCTGTCCCAGCTCATGAATTTCTCGTTCGCCTACGATCCCACCGCCGAGGCTTCGCTGCCATGGCCCCAGGCCGAGCTTGATCTTGTCGCATTTCTACAATCGACTCTATCCCGCGCGAAGTGTTCTAACGCAATCACAGCTTGAACAGGCGCTGCGACGAATAGCGCGCGCGGAACATCTCGCCAGTACGCACAGCCTGGCGCATCTCGCCGAGCATGCTGGTGGTGGTGTTACTGCTGCTCTTGTTGGGCGCATTCGTGGTGTGGTTGTATGTGGCGTCAGCAGGCAGCACCTCGAACTGCACCGTAGCGTTGCCCTCGCGGTACGTGCTCTTGGCCGGTCCGTTCGTCGTGTAGCTGCTACCCTTGGAAACCTTGCGCGTGCCCGTAGCGAGATCCCTGCCGTTGATGATGCGTTCAAACATCTCGAGCGACGCTAGCGGCTGGTAGAACGGCACCTCGTGCCCGCTCTCGTAGATGCGCACAAAGGAGAACTGCCCACTTTGCTTGACCTGGCCGTGGACCACGCCGTCGGACGTCTTGAGATCCGCGTAGCCGGCTTGGTCGAAGCCCTTGTGCCGCACACGCTCGGCGACAGCTTCACCGCCCAACCAGTTGCAGTTGTAGTCGGCGTCGCCGGCGTACATGACCACCTGCACACCCTGGTCGAGCAGCGCACGCACATCCTCGATAGTGCCAGATTCGCGTCCGTCATCGCCAGTGTTGCTGAAGGCGTTCGACACCGTCGACGAGCTCTCGCTGAAGTTCTGGAAAGCTCCAATGGCCGCCTGCACCTCGGGCGTGTTGAGGTAGTCCACATAGAAGCTGTAAGGGAACGGATCAGGCCCTAGCTCGCGGATGTCGTATTCGTCACGATTGGCATAGATATCAAGGATGGATTCCACATTGTTGGCGCAGAACGTGTCGGCGGTGCTGCACACCTGGTTCGTGCCGGTTGCGTAGCAGTCTCGAATCTGATCCAGGCAGTTGCCGCTGCCAAACATGTTGTTGTACATCATCTCCTCCACCGACGCATTGAACGGTCGGTAGTCGTACGTGTTGCCCGGCGACACGGTGTAGTTGTAGTAGGCAGCATACTGCAGCGCAGGGTCGTACCAGCCGTTGCCGATCATGACCGACTTGAGCTTGATCTTGTGCTCGGCGTGAGCGTTCTGCTGCTCGATGTACTCGTTAAAGACAGGGCCGTAGTGGCCGCCGTACGACTCGGTGGCAAAGTGGAAGTCCTCGCGCGAGTACTGCGGGAACGCACCCATGAATCCCTGGAGCGTGCGGTAGAAGTTCTTGGCCGCCGACTCGGTCGAGTTGGCCGTCAGCGTGACGTTGGGCGCAGAGTAGGTGCCGCATGTGCCAAAGTCCTGCGCATACTCGGGGCAAGTCTCGTCCGGCAGCACCACGAGGCTATCAGTGGACGGATTCACGTAGCCCGGAACCAGCTTGGTGTACGACAGGCCCGTGGTGGCTGGCTGGTCGATGAAGATCATGTTGCTCGCATTGTTCCATGCGTACGCATTGTTGACCACGGTGCCGTTCGAATCCACAGAGCACGGGCCGAGCTCCTGGAAGAGTCCGATCATCGAAGAAGAGCCGGGTCCGCCATTGATCCAAACCGTCAGAGGTGCGTCCTTGGGTGAGCCGTTGCGCGCTTCGAAGAACCAGAAGAAGATGTGCTCGTCCTCTTCCACATCGACGTAGCCCGAGAAGCTCTTGACGTTCGGGTCGGTCTCGCAGATGCCAGTGGGGACTTGTTTGTATCGCACGGGGATATCGAGGTGGCCCGTGGCCGTCTGCAGATCCGTGGGTGGCTTGACGAACTGCGACACCGCTCCATCCGCGAGCCGAAGCGCAGTGACGAGCGCAAAGACCAAAGATCGTGCAATCATGACTTCTATCCGCACCTTGACGAAATCTATTTGCGTTGCTGTAAGGTGGAGGGCAAGATCAGGGAACAGTTCATCCCAAAGCGCGCGCTACTTATACCTGGGTCCGCGAGCTTGTCCTGCTGCACAGGCGCGCCGGCACGGCACGGTGCGGCCTTCGGTACGATCTAAGATGCCGCCGGACGTGCGGGTGACTCTCTTCCGACCGTGCTCGGCTCGAGTTACAGTATGGTTTGCGTGTCGAAGGCTCGCTTGTAAGCTCTTCGCGGAGGGTATCTGCCGAAAATGCCGGCGTTTCATCCGACTGTTACAATTTGGCGATAACGAAGATCCTACGCCAATCGCCCTCGTGACTCGGCCGCTATCCAACTCCGCCGGTTGACAGGCCCTCGTGATTCGGTCAATTCCATTCATTTCGCCGTTCTTTCGCAGCAGCTTTCAAAGCAAGGGCACTTTTCCCCCTGAGGATGTTGACTTCGTCCTCTTGTGGCTCCATAACGCTGCCTCCGTGCCTGGATCGCATCTGCGCGCACTCTTGAGTAGTGCGCTACGAGCTGAGTTGCGTGAATCCAACCCCGCCGAGGGGAAAGGTCTATGCGCAACCTACCAAAGTACTCGCGATTCATGATTGTATGAGCGAGGAGTGAGGGGTGCGTAGCCGTCGATCAAGCCCTCGGACGTTCGTGATTGCGCCAAAAATCATAGCTGAGGTCACTCTGCTACGTTTATGTTTCAGGCGTACAGAAGAGCGCTAATGATCCGAAACATTTTCATAATCTTCAAGTGAGCCGCTGGGGAGGCCGTGAGCCACTTAGAATTTACACACGAGCCAAAAGCTGTGGCTATTTGTCTTGATTTATGGAGAAATACTGAGCTTCAAATATCGACCGAAGGGAAGATCATTAACTTAACTTAACTTCATCATGGAATAGACTCATTCGATTTCCGAAGTGTGCGCAGGCACAGGACCAGAATCAAGCACCATGCAATTGGAAGCAAGGCATTTGTGATTGATGATTCTTTGGAAAGGTCTGACTTAACTTGAGACTTGATCACAGACCATAAGGTGACTGGGACTTTGGCTCAGGATTAGACTCGCTAACCACGTAGGCAGCAGATCCATGATCCATGATTTATGTTTGTCTGGTCGGGCTTGTTTCGCTTCGCTGAAGTTAAGTTAATTATGTTAGCTCATGACGCGTTAAGTTATCTTGAGTCATATTTTGTGAAAAATCGTCTTGAATTCCAACTGACTTTCAAAAGGTGCCCGGACGCCAGTGTCGAAGCTGAAACTTTATTCATATCCTAAGAAAACGCGAGCTGGCGAGGAGCAGCCACCCAGCAGCCACCCGGGGTGGCTGGTAATTAGCAGCCACCCCTCAGCCACCCGGGGTGGCTTCTCCGGATCAGCCACCCAGCAGCCACCCATGTGTGTGTGGGTGGCTGATGGGTGGCTGATCCCAAACAGCCACCCGGGGTGGCTGCTGGGTGGCTGACCGTCGCCACCCCACCCTCTTTTTAGGATATGCATGTGTGTGTGGGTGGCTGATGGGTGGCTGACCCTCGCCACCCCCCCCGTCTTTTTAGGATATGAATCGGACTGACGAGACCACTTTGACTTCAATCAGCAACACATTTTGTAAAGTTGTGACTAAATCGGATTTTGAAAGCTCTCGGACGCATTGTGCTTTCTGTCATGTGGGATCCATGACAAAGTCAACCATGAATTGTGCATCAGCTCTAAGATGAGTCACACCCTTATGGCTCTCTCGACATTCGTCCTGAAGAAGGAACCATAAATCAGGGCAAAGGAATGTTCTGAAGAATGACACCTTCTTCATTTTTGCCACAGTCGTTGAGGCACTATCTGCCGACGTTGGAGAGTCGATTGTATGCATTCACTTAACATGACATGAGCGGTCCGTTACTGAAACAGGCCCATTAGTGAAACGAAAATCACGAAAATTGTAGGATCACCCGGAGGCCCCTTTTTATGCCCCTGCTGACCGTGTGCTCTAAAGCAGGCAAGTAAACTGTCCGACCTCGCTGATAAACATCAACCCAAGTTCGTGATTATCGCGGCAATCATGGAACTAAGATAAATGAAAGCACATCAGCTTGACAAAGCTTCGTCAAATGGCATCCACACCGCTAGGAAAAATTCTTTTTAGTTTAATAATTCGATAAGACACCGACGGTCCCATCGCACCTGGCGCCTTCCTTTCACGAAGTTGCGGGAGAGCGTGCGAGAAGAGCGAAAAATTTTGCGGCCTTTACATTCGTAGTTTCTGTGATATTCCGCGCCAGCTTTGCCAGCACAGGATAACTTGAATTAAGACATGAAGAGCGACTCTAGCTTATATCATCGAATCTACGGCATGCCCAGGCATCAGATCCATGCCCAGGCATCATATCCATGCCCATTTGACTTACAATGTAAGTTAACACACATGTTTTGTCCTTACGGATTGTGAACGTAGGACGGTAATCTGAACTATGAACATGCACTCATGACTCGCCTTCAGGGAGAGATCTGCCACGATTTCCATGCTTCGTGGCTGTCAGACGTGATTGATCGATGATCATCCCAATCAACTTCCATTCGACAAAGGATCAGTGCTGAATCACGATTTTGGCAGGTGATTTACATCAATGATTGACACACAAACGCGTTTTACGGCGCTTTTATTGACTGAATACAAAAGGGGCCTCTGGGTTGTAATGCTTTTTCTGTGAATGCTTTTTCTGTGATTTTCGTTTCACTAATGGGCCTGTTTCACTAAGGGGCCACTCATATCCTAACAAATGGGGTGGGTGGCGACGAGCAGCCACCCATCAGCCACCCCGGGTGGCTGTTTGGGATCAGCCACCCCACAGCCACCCACACACACACATGGGTGGCTGATGGGTGGCTGCTAATTACCAGCCACCCGGGGTGGCTGCTGGGTGGCTGCTCCTCGCCAGCTCGCGTTTTTTAGAATATGACTCACGTTAACTGAGCTTCACTAAGTTTAAGTCATCGTCATCACTCGAGACGTTCGGCTGCGCCGACGCATCCATTATCCGCATTGAACGTTTGTATTTTCTGTCATGATTTCGGTGGCCTCCGGGTGATCATGCCATTTTCGTGAATTTTTTTCCGACCAATGGGCCTGTTTCGGTGATGGGCCACTCACGTTCCTGCAAATGTATGAACGAGAGGCTTGCACCCACATCGCCAATAGCCAACGCGATCCCAAAAAAGTGGGGCTCGGGGGTTTGAGCGCGCAAGCCTTTGCTCTTTACAACATCAAGGAATGTAGAACCCTTCGGACGACCCATTTGATATGGCTGTGCTGCGGAGCATGGAGCGAGTTGAGTCAAAAGCGACCACCGGGACAGCATTGCAGGGTCACACAGACAGCCATTGCGTCGCATGTGCTACACTTGGTGCAACGATATCGAGCCGAATCGATGTGGAAACGCCGCACGCGAGTGACGACGGGCACGTGGGAAAGGCGGGCCGGGCGAAGTGATGAGTGATGAGTGATGGGGATCGAAAGGCAATCAATCAATCTCAACAAGGGGGTTGCGAGCAGGGTCTGGTGGGGAAGCGAGGAGCTTTGCCAGGGTCGCGTCTCGGCAGTGGAGAAGCGAAGGTGGCTTGGACGGCTGATCAGCAGGCCGGATCGCGCGGTGCTTTGGAAGTGCAATCGCCCGACAGCTGCTCTTCTGTGCGATGACGGAGTGATTGCTGCGAAGATTTCGGATTTGGGACGGCGTCCATTGTGGTGCAGAGCTGCTCGATCCTCTGTCGATGCGGGGGGCGCGCGAGCGAGTGATGGGCGATGAGCGATGGGCGATGGGCGATATTCGGGATTTGTGGAGGCCCGCGCTGTGCTGGGCTGCCCTATCGATTTTCGGATCGTTGCGAAGATTTGGCCGACGCACAGACGCGATGCCTCACCACATCCTCAGGCCTCAATCCCAGGCAGGCAAGGGCCCGTGTACAGAAGGCATCACCACCATCCTACGTTCCGCTCCTCGCGCTCTACCACCATCTCGTAGCTCGCGTCCGTCTCTTTTTCCGCCGTTTCGAGGTCGTCATTACGAGCAGTCCTCGTCCCACAACAATCCCGTCACACACTCTTTACTCGTCGTAGACTCTCCACTTTCTCCCCTTCCTCGTCGGCGACCGGCCTCCTCTGCTTTCCAGGTCGGAACAAGACCACTGCCATGTCGCCCAAGAGCGCCACCACAAATGGCACCGCCAAAGCGGCTTCAGCTCAACCCGTCAAGGTCTTTGAGCTCCCGCTCGAGCAGGATGGCAGCCCCAACCAGCAGAGGTCCTATGTCAGGCTGCCCGCTCCCGTGCATCCCTACATCCTCCGCTTCTCCATCGAAGCAGGCGCAGACGCTTCCATGCAGGCCATCCTCTGCACAAACTACTCCAACAAGCGCGCCACTTTCGACCGCACCTCCTTCGACAACTACCTTTTCACCTCGTCCGCTTCCTCGTCCAACACGGTCGATCTCCTGATCAAAACGGCGGGTGTCTTTGAGTTCTACGTCGAATATGCCGCCAGTGCCAGCGATCAGCAGGACGCAGACCTTTTCCACCACACCCAGGATACATCAACCCGCAAGAGGGGCAAGAGCGGACACTTCAACGTAGACCCCATCCTCAACGTTGCCGTACGCAAGCCCATCCTCAACGACGCATGCAAAGCCCTTTCCTCCAAAGACGGCGGCGGCGCCGTCACGTCCACCTCAGACTTCCTCGCTCTCGACGGAATCGTCCTGCAGACCCTCGTCTCCAAGTGGGCTGGCCCCCTCTCCAACTGGGGCGTCCATCTCGACTCGGCCCGCGACGCAGGCTACAACATGATTCACTTTCCTCCCCTCAACGTGCGCGGCGCTAGCAACAGCCCTTACTCGATCGGAGACCAGCACGACTTTTCCCACGACCTCTTCCCCGAAAAGCTCCAGGGTCCAAAGCAGAAGGCCGAGCGCGTCGAACAACTCAAGGCGGTTCTTGCCGACATGAAGTCCAAGCACGGCATCCTCAGCATGAGCGACGTGGTCTGGAATCACACAGCTCACAACAGCGAATGGCTCAACCAGCACCCGGATGCTGCATACAGTCCTGCTAACTCCCCGCACCTTCAACCCGCCGATGAGCTCGAAAAGGCTCTCTTCGAGCTCAACCGTCGTCTGCAAGACTACGACGTCCCAGCAGAGCTGCGCTCCGATGCCGACGTCGCCAAGCTCATGGAAGCGGTCAAGCAGCACGTCTTGGCTCCCCTCAACCTCTGGCAATTCTACGTCATCGATGCAAAGGCTGCCAAGGAGAGCTTCACCAAAGAACTTGCCTCCCGAAAGGGCCAGAACAACTCCAAGGCAGCTTCGCAAGCCACCGATGGCGCCATCAAGACCATTGCGGCCAAAGTCAGGTCGTCGGCCGTGTCGAACGAGATGACCCTCTCCGATCGATACGCCACCACCGTCGACGCCGCAAAGGCACTCGAAATCGTACAGGCAGTCCACCACAGCATCGAAAGCGATGAAGCGTGCGTCGACTTCTTCGCAAAGATCGTCGACGAGATCAACGCCTCTCTGTACGCCACCTACGACGACGACGTCAAAGCCATCCTTAGCAACATCGAGGGTCGCGTCAAGTTCACCCGCCTCGATCCGAACGGTCCCAAGCTTGGCAAGATCTCCGAACAGAGCCCCTTCTTCGAGCCCTACTTTACTCGTCTCGACCCCAAGCACCCTGACGCTGCCGCACGCGATCCCAAGGAGCTCTCTCTCGCCAACAATGGCTGGATCTGGGCTGCCAATCCGCTCGAGGACTTCGCCTCCAACAAGTCTCGCGTCTACCTCCGACGAGAGCTCATCGTTTGGGGCGACTGCGTCAAACTCAGGTACGGCTCCGGTCCTCAAGACTCACCCTACCTCTGGAAGCACATGGAAGACTACACAAAGCTCCTTGCTGCCAACTTCGACGCGGTGCGCATCGACAACTGCCACTCCACTCCCATCCACGTCGGAGAGCACTTCCTCGACATCGCCAGAAGGGTCAACCCCAACTTGTACGTCTGCGCCGAACTCTTCACCGGCAGCGCCGAGATGGATGTCCACTTTGTCAGCCGCCTCGGTATCAATTCCCTTATCCGCGAAATGGAGAACGGCCACGATCCCAAGGAAGAGAGCCGTCTGCTCTACCGCTTTGGCGTCAACAAACCCATCGGGTCCGTCGACAGCGCTTGCCTCACGACCCCTGGCAAGGTCTCTCTGCCCGAAGCGGGTCTCAAAGACGCCGACTGCCTCGTCGAGCAGCTCGGTGGATCCAGCCCTCATGCGCTGTTCATGGACGTTACGCACGACAACGAGACTCCCACGATGAAGCGCACGACCGAAGACGCCATCACCATGGGCGCACTCGTCGCCTTCTCCTGGTCTGCCATCGGTAGCACCAAAGGCTTTGATGATCTCTACCCCAAGACCCTGGATGTGGTTCAGGAGAGCCGACTCTATCGACCCGCTGCCAAGGCGGACGAAAGTGGCATCGGAGCCATCAAGCGCGTTGTCAACCATCTCCACGTCGAGATGGTCCGCAATGGCTTCTCCGAGGGACATGTGCATCAGGAAAACGACTACCTCCTTATGCACCGCGTGCACCCACAGACGCACAAAGGATTCGTCTGCCTGGCTCACACTGCTTTCCACAAAGGCTCGCGCGACCGCGGCCAGGCGGGTCCTTTCAAGCTCGACCGACAGCGAGTCACCTACGTTCTGGGCAAGACCCTCGAGGTGACCAGCACAGAGGCGCCGCAGGATGCAAAGTACCTTGACGGTCTTCCGTCGAAGCTCATCGATCTCGCTGAGCCAGAGGTCCGCATCAACGAGGATGGAGGACGTCTACGCTACTCCGAGATCGTCGTGCCCGACTTCTTCCCTCCCGGTAGTGTCATGCTCTTTGCCACCGAGATGGACAGCATCGATGCGGACATCGACTCGCGATGCCTTTCGGGCGCAGACGAAGCTGTCGCCAACCTCGACCTGGTCGACCTCAACGCAGTCCTGTACCGTGCTGACGGTGAGGAGAAGGACGTTACCGGCGGCAACGACGGCGTCTACACCATCCCTCAGTGCGAGCCCATGGTCTACTGCGGTCTCGAAGGCTGGATGGCAGTCCTGCGCAAGGTCATCCAATCAAACGACCTCGGTCACCCGCTCTGCGCGCACCTGCGAGACGGCACCTGGGCTCTTGACTACGTTCACCAGAGGCTGGAGAAGCAGATCGATGTACTGCCTCGTCTCGGCGAGCTTGCCAAATGGCTCGACGAGCGCTTTGATCTGATCAAACGCACCGCGCCCAACTTCATGAGGCCCAAGTACTTTGCCATGGTCATCAAAGCCGCCTACGACGCGGCAGTCCGAAGGGTGATCACGCGCATGTCCCCCATCATCAAGGACGGCCACGACTTCATCAAGGCGCTCGCCCTCTGCTCGGTGCAGATGAATGGCGTCGTCAAGTCCGCCTCGCTCTGGCCTGAGAAGCAGGTAGCCTCGATGGCCGCTGGTCTTCCATTCTTTGCTGCTTCCTGGGCCAGGCTGTGGGGCCGCGACGTCTTCATCTCCCTCCGTGGCCTCTACCTCGTCACTGGAATGTTCGAGGCGGCTCGCGAACACATCCTTGCGTTCGGCTCGACACTCAAGCACGGCATGATCCCGAATCTGCTCGACTCGGGCCGAACGCCGCGATACAACTGCCGAGATGGACCGTGGTTCTTCGCTCAGAATGTGCAGGACTACACCAAGATGGTACCCAAGGGCGAAAGCATCCTCAGCGAGAAGGTGGCTAGGCGCTTTCCCCTCGACGACGAGTGGGTTCCGTGGGACGACGCCAAGGCCTACGCCCACAAGAGCACCGTCGCAGAACTGATCCAGGAGATTCTGCAGCGCCACGCCTCGGGCATCCACTTCCGCGAGTACAATGCTGGTCCCGCGATCGACAACGACATGCATCCCGAGGGCTTCAACATCGACGTCGATGTCGATTGGGAGACCGGCATTATCTTCGGCGGCAACGAGCACAACTGCGGAACGTGGCAGGACAAGAATGGCTCGTCGGCCAAGGCGGGCAACAAAGGAGTGCCAGGCTCGCCTCGTAACGGAGCTGCGATCGAGATCACGGCGCTGCTTAAGAGCACGCTGTCCTGGATCGTTGACCTGCAGAAGCGCGGCGTCTGGAAGGAGGCCAAAGGCGTCGAAGCCGTAGTCAAGGGAAAGAAGACGCTTGTCACCTACGAGCAGTGGGCCGATCTGCTGCAAAAGTCATTCGAACGCGCCTACTACGTTCCACTGGACGCCAGCGAGGATCAGGCTTACGACCTGGATTCGAAGCTCGTCAACAGGCGTGGAATCTACAAGGACGTGTACGGGTCGTCCAAGGGACGCGAGTGGGCCGACTACCAGTTCCGCTCCAACTTCCCCATCGCCATGTGCGTGGCTCCCGAGCTGTTCAAGCCCGAGCATGCGTGCAACGCGTTGAACAAGGCACGCGAGATCCTGGTCGGACCGCTGGGAATGAAGACGCTGGATCCATCGGACTGGAACTATCGTCCGAACTACGACCAGCGCGAGACGGAGGATGCATCGACGTCGTGCGGGTGGAACTACCACAATGGTCCTGAGTGGGTGTGGCTGCGCGGCTACTATCTGCGAGCTGTGGCCATCTTTGGTGCCAAGGCGGGCGTCGAGCGCTCGGTGATGAACCACCGCATCAACACGCTGATGCTCGAGCACAGGCAGCACATTCGTAGCTCGCCGTGGGCAGGGCTGCCCGAGCTCACCAACGCCGACGGCGCTCACTGCTCCGATTCGTGCGCCACTCAGGCTTGGAGTGCCGCTGCGCTTCTGGATGCACTTGAGGAGATGGCCAAGTGAAGCGGCTGCTCCTCGGACAAAAGTCATGTTGTCTCAGAACAATGTTCAGAATTGGAATTCACAAGAAGTGTGCTCATTTGGATGTGACTTGGTCTGCAAAGTTGGCATCCTGAAGCGGTCTGGCGTGAGCACAACAGGCGGATTGGGCTTGTCTTTCGTGTCGCGACGCGCGGGACTCACTGTCGTTGCTGCAGAGCGACGCCAAGCCACAATGTGAAGTCGGTGGCTGTGACGCCATCGGGAGTCGAAGTCGAGCGCCAAGTTTCTCGCATGAAGCCAGGAGGAGCGTGGTGTATGAATTGAGAGATGTGCGCTACAATTGCGGATCGGATCACGCCTGTCCGGCGCCGTCGGGTGCAAGAACGAATTCGTCGAGCACGTCCATGAGGGCCGCTGCGTTGTTCGGGTTGCTCATCTAGCCAGACGAAATGCAAAGGGTCAGTTTTGGTGCACGCCATGTCTGGTTGCGTGTGCGAGGAGGTTGAGCTTACCTTGATGGCGTAGTGTACGGGTTTTGCATCTTCGAAGGCGACGATGCGGACAAACTTTTCGTGGAGCTCGCACTTCATGCCCTTGAAGAGGGAGACGTTGAGGATGACTCTGAGCACACCGTCTGCGCGCATTACGAGCCTTGCCTTGTCGCGGGCCGAGTGCTTGGGGACGTTGACGCGCAGGGTGCCGGTGCCGCGCTCTTTCCACGACTGGTCATCTGCCATGGTGTAGAGCTTTGCACGGATGCTGTGGATGGTCTCCTCGTCTTCTTCGCCGGTTTTGGCTGCAAAATCGGAAAGGTCAGTGTCAAGACAGTGTGACGGGTGCGGGGATGGAGGGCACTTACTATCTTCGTTGACCTCGAGCAATGGCTTTGCCTTGGTCTCGGCCACCGCGCCTTTATCTTCGCTCAGGAGCTTTTGTTCGAATGTCGCCTTGTCGTCCGACGATTCCGCCTGTTCTGCCTCCTTTGGAGACGCTGTGGAAGCGGGGGATTTGGGCTTGGCCAACGGACTCGCACCTGCAAATGCACCAAATCCAAACGCTGAGCCTTTGACGATGGGCTTTGCAGGTGCGGAAGTTGAGGATGACGATGCGGCGGTGGAGGAGGAGGCCGAGGCGGATTCGGAATGGTGTCCGCCGATGCTGGAGCCTAGGCTGCTGGGTTTGATGCCGGAGCCAACCAAAGGGGACGAGCTTCTTGCTGCAAACGCCGAGAAGCCAGACTTGGCGCTGGACGATCCCGAGGAGGAGGGAACTGCGCTGAAGGGGGAGGACTTGGAGCTGAATGCGGAGAAGGTGGGTTGTGTTCGTGTGGGTGCGTCGGCGTCCTTGGCTGGCGCGGACGTTGTGTTGTCTTTGGATGGTGAGGGCGAAGGAGCTGCCGCAGCATTGTCGTCCTCGGGTTTGTTGTCGGTTTCGGGCTTGGCAGCCTTGAGTTCGTGTGTGCTCAGCTGGTGCACCTTTTCGCGAATGTGACCCACCTTTTCGGTCTCTGGTTGTTCGGCGGATGGGTCGTCGTCCTCCTCCTGCAGCGAGTCCTCGAGGCGGTTCTTTTTGGCGGGGATGGATTCAGCGACGCGCGAGGGCGTCATTTGGGAGGGTTCGACACTGCCCTCGCGTTCACGCTTACGGCTGGAGGATGCATCTTCGGAGTGATGCGGGGGTGACTTTGCCGTCACCTCTCTGGACGTGGACTCTGTCGGTTTGGGCTGTGGGGAGGAGGAGCGCTGGGAGGGCGGCGAGGAAGGCTGCGACTGTGGCTCGCGAGGCTGCTCGGCGTCCGCCTTGGGTGGTTGCTCTGTCTGAGCGTCTTTTGCGGACATTGATGGTGTGAGCCTGGCGAGCGAGCGAGCAGGCTAGCAAGCGGTGTTGAGCCTTGGTGGTGTGAGGAAGAGGAGGGGGATGAGGAGGAGGAGGCGTCTGTCTGTGTGTGTTTCTCTGCTGCGGGAGGGAGCGCGGCTGTTTTGCACGAGACGCGCTCTTCTTCCTCCACTTGGTCGGCTCCGATCGGCGGCGCTGGTCAAGTTGGCTTTGGCTTTGGGGCACGGCAGCGGTCCGATTCGACATTTTTGCGTTTCATTTGGCGGCGACAGTGCCACGCTCTAACATTCGGAAAGCGAATTTCGACTGAGCTTGGCGCGTGCGTTGCTGCCGTTGCTGCTGCTGCTGCTGCTGCTGCTGCTGATGAACAGACGAGTGCAGCAGCTCAGCCCCTAAGCCTGGCCTGGGCCTCCAAGCGCCGCCCCAGCCTCGCCTCGCATCACCGCAATCGCAATTCCACATTTCTCCACCTTCTCCCCATCTCATCCTCCGACGCCAGCTGCCACACGTTCATCTCACACACACACACACACACCAGCTCAAACCCTACGCATCGGAGGTATACCGAGCATCTTCGCAACCATGTCGAGTCGTCCCATGAACGACGATGAGGTGCTCTCCGAGATGAAGAAGATGGTAAGCCCGTGCACATTCTCACTTTTGCCTCCTGCGATCGTCGCTAAACCGCTCTTCTTTTCGTGGATATCCAGGTCGCATTCATCAAGCAGGAGGCGGTGGAAAAGGCACGCGAGATCCAGATCAAGGCCGACGAGGAATTCGCCATCGAAAAGGCCAAGATCGTGCGTCAGGAGGCTATCAACATCGACTCGCAGTACGACAAGAAGATCAAGCAGGCCGAAGTGTCGCAAAAGATGTGAGTTGACCCTTTCCCCCAGGATCGATCAAGCTATCGGCATTCTCACCCCTCATCGTGAACGTGCCTACAGTGCCCAGTCGAACCAGACCAACAAGTCGCGTTTGAAGATCCTCCAGACGCGCGAACAGCACCTGCAGTCTCTCTTTGACGCCACACGCGACAAGCTGGATGGCATCGCCAAGGACCAGGAAAAGTACAAGACGCTTCTGTCCCAGCTCATCCTACAGGTGTGTACCTCTCCAAGTAGTCTGAATTCCACTTCAGCCATGCTGATGTCTCTCGGTTCGAATGTGTCGACAGGGCTTGCTTCAACTGATGGAGTCCAAGGTGACGGTCACGGTCAAGTCGAGCGACGTGCAGCTCGCACAGGAAGCGGCCAAGCAGGCCGAGAGCGACTTCAAGTCCAAGGCGGGCAAGTCGACCAGCGTGACTGTGCAGGAGGGTCTGAGCAAGGACTGCGCGGGCGGCGTGATGCTGGCGGGCTTTGGCGGCAAGATCACCATCAACAACACGCTCGACGAGCGTCTGCGTCTGCTCGAAGACCGCATGCTCCCCGAAATCCGACTCGACCTCTTCGGGCCCAACCAGAACCGAAAGTAAGTTGTTGCCTTGGTCCAATCTCGCGCACAGATCTTCATTGCTGACACCAATATTTTAACGATCATGCACAGGTTCAACACTTAGACTCTTCCTTCACCGCACACACCTGTCTTTGACAGTCACACTTTCCTAACCGCTCTTGTTGTCTTGAATCCGATATCCTCAACACCGCACTGTCTTCTTGTCTGCCTCGACTGCATCACAACTGCACACGAGCGAGGCGAAAGGAGAGGCTCCAAAGTGGGAGGTTGCTGGGCGGGGCCTAAATGTACAAGCGGATGTGCTGAGCGGGAACCACAGAGTCTGGCGATATGCGACATGGACGCCTCGTTTTTGGAGGGGGAAAGGGGAAGATCAAGGACGCTCGCCACGCGGGAGCGACCACTGACAGCTGAGGATGAGGTTATCGTAGCCCCTGCCGTCGACCTTCTGCCTTGCGCGGTCGGCGTCCTCGCGCGTCTCGAAGCTGACGAAAGCGTAGCCCTTGCAGATGCCCGTTTCGCGGTCGCGGCCGACGTAGACACGCACGACGCGGCCAAAGCGGCCAAAGAGCTCGCGCAGGTCGTCGTCGTCTGCGTCTTCCGAGAGGTTGGTGACACGGAGCGTGGGGAGGTCGTCTCTGGAGACGCCGCCGAGGCCGCCCATCTTCTCGCCGGGGCCCTTTGCGCCGCCGCGCATCGAGGGCGGGATGTACTTGCCGCCTGTGCTCGCAGCGACGGCGGGGTTGGAGGGGTCCATGGTGGCGAGGGGCGTCATGGAGCCCTCGCCGGCCTCGGGCGTGTCGGCGCCGGCGCCGGGGATGGCCTCGAGCGTGTCCTTGTAGGGGCATTTTGTGGTGAAGTGGTCACCCTTGCAGAGACGGCAGACGATGCGCTTGTTTGCGAGCTGCTGGCGCACCTTGTCCATCTCGTCGACTTCGGGTTCGGCGGTCTTGTTGTTGCCGGCGGACATCTTGAGCACCACGTTTTCGCCGATGGTGGTGGTGGCCGAGTGCGGGCCGGGGGCGTTGTTCTTCTCCTTGCCGAACTTGGTCCAGGACTTGCGCTCTGCGACCTCGTGGTTGACCTTGGTCTTTACGAGCGTGCGCTTGACGCGGCGCGTGATCTTGACTTTTTTGCCGTCGGCGTTGGTGCGGTATTCGATGACGACCTTGACGCCGTTGCCCTCGTCGCGCTCCTCGATGCGCGGGGCGTCGCCGGAGACGTCCTCATCGAACTCGTCGGCCCAGTTCATGGGCTTGCCGCCCGCAGGCTGGCTGGTGGAAGGCGCCGCAACAGGGGCCATGGTGTCTGTATGTGTGTTATGTGTCGATGCTGAGTGCGAGCCGATGCGTGACGTGGTCTGGCGCTGGGATGCGACGGTGGTGGTGTGCGTAGGTGACCCGTGAGGTGTGGTGCAGAAAGGCCTCGAGTGATGGTGGATGAGGGTAGGTCGGCTGGAGCAGCAACTCGAGCTCAGTTGCAGGCGTGAGCAGGCGGCCTCACAGTCGGATCTTTGGCTGGCAGGCTGGTGGCTCCCCTTGGAGCGGCGGTTGAGAAAGACAGGCGAGCTGCGTGTCGCGCGAGGTTCAGCAATTTTTTCCCGCCTCTCAAGCTGCCTTTCGCGCGTTCTTCGCAGCTGACTTCTCTTCTGCTCTTTCCGTACGAAATTTCGCGTGGAGCCAAATCTCGATTGCCAGATCGGACCCGAATTGGCGCGAGAAGAAGGACTCGCATGTCAAAATTGGCCGCCGCCACTGAGCTTCGCGTTGGGCAAAAAAATCCAATCATCCAACATCATCCGAGCCGGCAGTCCTCTTTTCCTCTTTCCTCTTTCCTCTCTCACGCCTACCACACCTCATATCCCCTAGCGCACATCTTTCGGTCCAGCACAAACAACTAGACGCCAAGGCCTACATCTGTGCTCCCTCGCAGCGTGCTCTTCAGCATCGATTCAGCACGCGCCTCCTACAGCCCCTCCTCCTCCGGCTCTCGATTTGCAATCGCGTCCAACCATGGCAGCTCGTCGCATCCAGTCGCCGCTGCGCGATCTCGCCCGCAGCATGCGTAGCGTGCGCAGCAGATCAGAGCTTCCCGCTGCCTCCGCAAGCTGCTCTTCCGGTCCATCTTCCGCCTCGCGCGCATTTGCATCGGCCGCCTCCTCGACCGCCTCTTCCTCCACCACTGCTGCTCCCGTTCCATCATCTCGCCCCTCGCTCCGCAGCGCCGACTCTCGCCCATCGCCTGCACTAGGCACACGCATCACCGGCGCCGACGTTCTCGCGCACCTCTCTGGCGTGTCGTCGGGTCTTTTGGACTCCAACGCCGATCTCGCGCTTCGCGCCGTCACGCACGAGTCGTACCTCAACGCACGAGAGGGCCACAACCGCCGGCTCGCCTTCGTCGGCCGCAGAACGCTCAAGCTCTTCACCACGCTCTTCCTCCATTCTCGCCTCCAGAGCCTCGCGCCCGGCGCCGCGCGCACCTACATCAACCATCTGCTCGAATCGGCCTCCGCCGTGGACGCCATCCTCTCCACCCACCGACTCGGCGACAAGGTGGGGCGCAATCTCGCACTCGAGAGCGTCATGCGCTGGACGCCTGCCGTTTCCGACGGTCAGATGGGCCCGCGCGAGACGGGACTCTTCAAGGTGCGCGGCGTGGCGGTCGAGGCGATCGTCGGCGCCATCTACCATCAGAACGGTGCCATGGCTGCGTCGAGCTTCTTCCACTCGGCAGTGCTGCCCGAATTGCTCCAGGACGGCTTCCCCGCACCCGTGCCACAAGAACTCAAAGACGGCATCGTCCCCGACAAGTCGTGACCGCCGCCGCCACTCTTGATTCATACAGCCACTTTCTCAACTCATCATGTACTTCTATGCAGAATCCCACCACCATATTCTCGCTCCTTTTCTCGTCGAACCCTCCAACCAAAGCTTCTGGGTGATTGTTTTACGATTGCGTCAGGTTTTGCGCTTGGCCGGCTTGGTCTTGGCCCTGGCTGGAGTGGTGG